TTCCGTATTGTTTCCTTATCCTCGGACCTCTTGTCTTTCACTACACCCTGACTATTATTACTAAAGCTGTCACCTTATCTGTGGAAGCCCCATTCAGTCCCCCTTTGACTGCGCGCTCTGCGGCATTTCTGGATATAAGAAGTGTCACATCCCGTATCCATTTGCTTTTACATCCCCCACCATGCGCTTTTCACGGGTATCGCTCATTCTTGCCGCAGGGTCCACTATTATACCATCCGTCAGTGCATGGGGAGCAGTAGGTGAGTATGGCAGTATGTCGTGTCTGAAGAGTCTAACTTTTCATAGGTCATGAAATCATCGCGACAGTCGCTCAGATGCATCTGCATCCTTCGGTCATGCCCATCCTGTGCGACATCTTGAATTACAAAGGGAACTGCCATCTCGCTCCGGTCGCTGCCTGGGCAGACAGGATTCGTGGTTTGCCACAGTACAGGTGGACAGGCCCTCTGCACTACATCGGTGCAACGGATGACTATCCTAGTGAGACTTGCGCTTTCCCAGGAGAGAGAGGCTGGGAGGGTAGAAGGAATATCAATGTGCTTAGCGGCATAAGGAACACCACAAATACTCTGGAGAGTTACATGGGCCTGCGCAAAGCAGGTTTGACCACTGAGAACGATGAAGATGCGGCGCAGGTCGCACTCAAGTTTCTCATTCACTTCGTTGGGGATATGCACATGCCATTGCACCTCACAGGACGTGACCGAGGAGGGAACGGAATCAAAGTCTCATTCGACAGTCGTGTGACAAGTCAGTTGTTCCCGCTCTTATCTTTCCTTGTTCTTATCATCTGCGACAGACCTTCACTCCCTGTGGGACGGCCTCCTCATAGCCAAAAGAATTCGCACAATACCCTCCAATTATACTCGCCCTCTGCCACTTCCCGACGTCGAGAGTCAGCTTCGGGGCACCATCTACGACCCTTATATCCGTCGTGTTGTCTGGGAAGGCATCACGGGCAGGTACGAGGACGAGCTCGACTCGTGGCTTACGTGTCCCGCCGAACCGTCCGTCCAACCCCTGCAAACTCACTGGGAGCAATGGCTATCTTGGACTTTTGGGCGTCGCATAGGGTCTTGGATTGTGGGGTCGCATCTTACAGATGGAGGTTTGAACACCGATGATGAAACCTTGTGTCCATACCATTGGGCAGCTCCCATTCACGCTCTGAACTGCCAGATCGTCTTCCCGAAGGCACTAGATGAACCGCCATACAACCATGTTTCCTTCTCTGGAAGTACCGATGATCATGCCTGCAACTCATCCAATCAAAGTCTTGAAGTCCACTGGCTTTCTAGGCCGAGGAAGAATCCATACCTCGAACTCGACACGCCCGAGTATTCCGGGGCAATCGAGGATGCATGGATTGTGGAGAAGTTGATGTCTCAGGGTGGTATCAGGCTTGCAGCTGTCCTCAATTGGCTCTTCGCGGATATGGATGACTCGACTCCTTTGAATAGAACTTATATCTTGTAATTCTAAGCGTAACTTGTACTACATACTATAGAACACGCCCCGCGATAGTCAGTCATATGCAAAACATAATATATTTCACTGGCACAACAAACATGTCTCGTATAGAAGTACATAAAAATCCGAAGTTATAGTCAACCTAAAGCGTAACAGTAAGCAAGGTGTTCAACAGAACCTCACAAGATGAATCAGAAAAGCCGATGTTTTCTTGTCCCCCGTAAAGCATCGCCCGTGGACCAACGCACATGAATCAAGACGAAGCATACACGCATCTCTTGCGAACAAGAGCGATCGAACGAACGCGCAACTACGGGAGACTCAAAGAATGGATGAACTTGATTTCGTCCTGCAGATACGGATGTACAAAACTCTAGTGAACAGTACTCACCCTTCCACAATGAGCGCGTCACGAACGACCAGTGTATTCATCTGTAACAGCAGTAGTTAGCATGTTGTTCTTTCCGTAAATCGAGAGAAAAGCTGATCAGGATTGAAAATTTTTGGTAAAAGGTTGTCCACAAGAGATTGTGTCTCTTTCGGAAGCAGAACTGATTGTATCATCACAAAAAAAGGTGCACAAAAGCTCCAGCATCGAGAAATTTTGTTGCTCACCTTGATCCGGTTGATTCATACGACTGGGAGAGGGGAGAGCGAGTAAACCACGAACATGCTGTCATGGCATAAGAAAATTGCGAGCAGAAACTGTATAGATGTTTTTGAGTCTCCGCCAAACTCCGCTTCAAGATCAAGCTCGGCAAGCGAGCTTGTTTTTTTTTACGAACCTTCACCATCGCGCACACGGCGTGTCACGTACGCTGGCCAAGGTAAGCCTCACGACCTACCTTTCCAAATGATGATACTTTCCATCCTCGAGTCGGCGACGGTCTCCAATGAGCCATCACTCGTAACATGCATCACCAACTGATTCTCATCTTCATCTTCCGTGTTCATCTGCATCAGTTACTTACTTTTCCTTTCCTCTTTTTACAGATTGTCCTGTGATGGTTGTATAACGATGTAGCACCGGTGAGCATTGTGCCATAATCCTCTCTTTCTCCCCGAGATGCTTTACAACATACAAGCATATGTCCGATTTTTATGATGGACAAATTGTTCTTCCTGAGGGAACGCATCTGATCGTTGTTACTCTTATCTGACGTTTTATTTTCTAGGTACAGCCTTTGTTGTGCTATTAAAGTAGTGCTTCCTGTATTGTTGCTTCTTAAAAATAGTATGATAAATGTCTTGTCTTATTTTCTGACTGCCAGATGCTTTGCATAACGCGTGTGTACTGAGGTTCTTTCACATTGGTACGATTCAATGTGTTGTGATCAAAATGGTCTTGAAAATTTGATTTGCATAATTGAAAGCCACAGACTACATACATGTACTCGTCTACATTCTGATCGATGATCACCTTTGTGCGGAGCTGGAGGCTATATATTACAACATAGACAAACCACGTGTGAAACAAGGAGCAAACTGGAAACGTTAACCAGCGTGATTGAGGCTTGTTGCATATTTCCACATAGCTTCCATCAAAATTGTCCCAACATTGACAGCGTATGCGACCAGCCAGAGTGCAGTGACGGCGCGGCAGATCATGCTTTGAGAAGAAAAGCCCGCTATCAACATCACTGGGGGTGAAATCCATCAGGGACCAGGGAAAGCACCAGATGATGAAACAACTCACCAAATATGAAACAATTGAGGGAGCAGACAATGAAGACTATAGGCGTGACTATCGACAACAGATACGACAAAACGAAGTAGTCGCCTTGCTTGAGTTGCTGATCATATTTAGGTCAGCCGGTGTCCGAATCAGCATGGCGAAAATAAAACTCACTTCTTGAGTCCAGTGCCGATCGGCGTGCAGCCAACGTATCACGCTCGAGCCAGACGTCAACATCGCGATCATGGCGAGCATGAGCGATATAAAGAGCAGACAGTAGGGAACGGGTGATGTGTAATCGAAGTATGACACAGGAGAACCCGTGCTGACAAAAACACCGCTTATAGCGAGGAGGACACTCGCCTTTATGAGAGCATGTCAGCGCAGGCTTCAGTCCGCGACGGGCGCGAAGTTGAATAGCTTACGGTGGTGGTAGTACTGGCCAAGATGGAGCACGACCTGCTCCTGACGGTTTCGAAGGCTTGCTGTGATTGCAAAGACTTCCAATGATCACCAAGATCTGGGCGTCCAAGTGCCAAAAAACAAAGTACCCTCTTTAAGAAGGACACGCGACGAAGGGCATCGGGGAGGGGTTGTTCTTCGGCAGATGCTTTGTCGTCATATAACTGGAAAGGTCGGCGTGATTGAGTCATACGGCAAGGATTCCTAAGGTTTGAAAGCGTACCTGAGTAGAATAGAATGAGGCCATGGTGTGAAATAGGAGAGTGAAGAGAGACTAGTAATGCTCATGCTGAGAAGGGAGATGCAACCTATTATATACCCATTCTCATACCAGCAGGAGATGTACACAAGGACATAGAGCCTCATCCGCATAGCCATCAAACCGGGCACATGTATTCGGTTCAAAGATACGAGCAGACCATAAATTTAGGGCAGGTCAAGAGGTGTGCGTTCGCAAAATGCCGAACACAGGGCTCGTCTTTAGATAAGCATCGAAACCTTAAAGTACAGCCACCCGAACTTTCGCAACATGCGTTTTGAGTATCTCGCCAGCGGCCTCAAATCATGATAAAATCGTTTGTCGAGTACTGAAAAGGGGGTATTTTCACTAGTTTAAAACAGCTCCAGATAGTTGTTTTAATGACACATGCCCATCCAAAGATACTACCCGCTAAACGAGACATCTTGGATGTGATTTTTGTGAACATGTGACGAAAGTCATTCATGTCAATATCAATATGACGCGTCTCAAACACATCTCGCATCTCCTTCGTCTCTCCTTAAAACTATCATTCAATATGTATTCTACGAAAAAAGTCTTGAACCGATGTGACAAATGTTCATTCTGCTGTTTGATTGTGCACTTGACCTTGGAATGTAGATTTTGCTCATGATTGCCTGTCTTCATGCTTGAGTCTGTTGGTCAACTACTTAATATGGTTAAATTATGCGATTGGTCACGCTGTCATCACGTGGTCACAGTAGGCGTAGGCGTTGTTGAAGTTTCTGAGGTTAGTGTCTTGAACTTCTCGATTGCACACCTCTTGGGGCAGGTCGAGCTTTACATTTATGCTTATTAAAGGAATTCCAGGAGTTCCACTCACCCACTTTGAGTCTTTTTTGGGAATGGCTTCCTTTCTACAGGTTTCGTCGCCAAATAATGTGCCGCATTCTGTTGTAATGGAGTGGCTGTGGAGTTGACTTCTGGTCCGGTGCGCGTTCCTACTACTGTCGACGGTTGGTATCATTCTCGACAATCATTTTGCTCCGTCTATCTGGATGGGTGCAATGTCGAACTTGGCCCACGGTGATAGGCTCGCATTTGTAAATTTTGTGAAGTTCGATTTATTCGGCCTTCGGAGAATCTTACACCTTACTTCGTACTCCACTCCGAGGCTAATACAGGAGTATCAGGTGCCCTGTTCCAACTTGGAGCCTTGATTGGTTCGAAAATGAGGTAACATTCAAGTCCGAACATCCGCAGCACCAAACCCCCCATACACCGTCGCTTAGTATACAAAACAAATGATTATAAAACTACCGTTGGATTATATATATCTAAGACCTACGAAGGACGTTGCCCACACGCATCTCCTAGAATGTGGGCGGTCAGCACACTCCGAACCAGTATCTTGCCACATCCATCACATGCCTCCATCATCCCGAAGCTATCTTCGCGACTCACTCCTGTCCCCATTGAAAGACGAGCTAACACATCTCTCTCATGCACGGATAGCTGTGGTTTGTTTGAATGAGACGGCCCTGTGATCTCACAGGATGCAGCCTTGGTTGCAGATTGGTGAGCGAGCAAGAGTTTGGATGAAGTCTTGGTGTCTTTATTGTAACACTCAGTAATGTGTACATTATTTTGATCTGAATACTCACATGGTTGTTGACGATGCTGGTGAATGGCTTTGCGAGGTGTATGTGGGGTTGGTGTACATATTGCAGAGTGGCTAATGCCACCACGAAGCTGAGGATAACCAGGGAAAATACTTTCATGGATGCCGCAGTAGCCTGTAAATATTGGGGCGACTTCTGTCAATGAGTAAGGTTGCTGTCCAAATGTGTCGTGGAACGTCGCAATGAGTGCAGGGAGATCTAGAATACCACCGCGCCCTATGAAAGTATTGAGAAGAGAGAAATTGAGTATGTTTTTTACTTACAGCGTGTGAGGATGTTTTTGTAGCATGAAGTTAATAATGCAGTGGCTCAAATGCTATTCAAGTTCACTGATTGGGCTGTGAGGAACTCGTAAGATGAAGGAGAAAGAATGAAGACCTACAGTAGAAGCCACAGTGATTATTTACATCATTGCAGCGCACAACAACATCTCCAGAGATAAACTCATGGATGAAACGTGCTGGAGTAGGCTGACTGGAAACCATACCACAGAAACACTCGAATGTGAGACCACAACGCTCAAGCCAGTAGAAAAAGCCCTCTGGTGTAACACGGTAACCATGACTAGTCTGTGGGCTAAGAAAATATTGTGAGCAATAGGGAAAAATGAACAAACAACAAAATAGAACGCACTAGGCAATGGTCACAACCTGACCAACTTCTCGAGCATAAACGACAAGTTCGTTGGTAGCACGTTGCGCAGCGATGCAAGGGTGAAATACAGGGTTGATGCAGGTTACCATGATTGCAGACTAAAAATGTGTGACTGTGAAGATAGCAGCTCGAGTTGAGACAAAAATGAGATAGGGTAGATGCCTGTCAAACTTACCAGTTTATATAGCAGTGGACCGGTGGTACTAGACTTGATCTACAAGCGATGGCTGCAGCTAACTGTGCTCAATATCAAGATGAACTAGAAGATTAGGAATTTTTTTACAGATTTGAGTCAATGAGAAAGAGCGACAGCATCGGCATTGATATCTGAATGGTGGATGTCATTTTCGAGACAGAGTGATGGCGTCGGTACTGATATCTGAACAGCGGCTGTCATTTGGGCAACACTGCAGCAGCAATACGTTAGACTTGGCATTGGCCAGAAGCAAGAGAAGCACAACCACAAAGCACAACCACACAAGAACTAGTCTCCATGATATCGGACTGCATTCTAGGGTGCATGGAAATGTCTTGGACTTGAACTCTGGTGTCGTCAATGTTCACATCAATTAATGAAACTTACGGGCCCAAACATTAGTTCCGTGATTGTGAAAGTTTTAGGCTGCATTGTGTCTTGAAATTGGCAGTGCATCATGTGTTAATCCTTGGCAGACTGGGCTTCTGTGCTAGGTGACTGAAGAAGAACACTCCCATGAGGTGCTGATATGATACCGCATTACTTACCGTCATCCAAATTAGGCAACACTTATTGTTCTCCAATACCAACATTGACTTCATGCAAAATCTGCCGACCTTCAAGCTGTACTATGTATATGGTAGATTCGTATTCAAGGCCCCAACACTCATTGCAATGTCATACTACCCTCGTCTATTATGTCAAACCTCTCTGATGTGCAACTCGCTGCTCTCAAAGCTGCACAGGATATACTCGACAATGCTGGTCTTTCACCTCTTGATCTCAATACCGATTTACCTTCTTCTCATGATGTTTCACCTGCAGCTTCTTCTGTGTCAGTACAACAACCAGTAATTCCATCACCAGAGGTCATGGCAGCATGCTACTGCCCACAACCTGCTCGATTATTCACCATAGACGAAATTGCACAAGGTTGCAACAAAGTCAATCACGAGACTAGTGTTGATGCCATCATTGAACATCCTCTTGGTGTGATTGTTGAGTATCCTCAAACTGGCTCTGCACCAGGTCATGCAGTTGCTCACATTTTCCACATCAACCCCGATCCTAAGTCATTCATCCACCCAAAGTCTAATTTACAATATTCTCTCGGTGATTATCACAATGGACGTCAAAATGCATGGTGTTTTTTACTCAAAGACCCTTTCGGCAAGTCTGTTCTTTGCTCAAAGCTGAGAACATCATGTGAGTGTATTTTTCTACTCATTTTACTGCTATTTACCAGCTGTGAACAGGCAAAGGACTGAAACTGTGCTCAGCTCGAACTGATGACTGTCTCCCTCATGACTATGTTGACCGTCACTCATTCAACACTACTTCACCACTTTCGTACTCAAATTCACCTCAAACTGAGGCACAGAAGGAGGTTTTTTTGAAGACACTCAATTTCTTTTGTGCTGTCAAAGACAAAGGTTACTCTCTATCATTTGAAAGTAATCCTGACGATTCTACTAATGAGTTATTGATGTATCATACATCGGAAAGTGCTGACTCGGACTCGGACTCTGAGTCTGAATTTGATGTTGATGCACTATCGAGCCGTCGTAAATGGAAGCGCAAAATGTGCAAGGGCAACCTTGTGATGCACATTGATCGATTTAACCAACCTTTCATTCAGTGAGTACCGACTGAGTTTGGCAGACAATACATGTGCTGAACATCTATAGGTGCAAGTATTTCTCAATGCCGACACAACATGCACACCTTGTTCTGCGAAACTTGCAAGAATTTGATATTCCATACCTCCAGGCATTGCTCGAAAACAACCAACAATGTATTTTTCAATTTGAGGAAATTGCACGTGCTCATGGTTATGGCCCTTTGGCACCCTGCACGTTCATGGCCTCCCCTGTCGAGCAAAAGCAATTGTGCTGTGAGTGTTGTAGCCCCAAGTTTTGGTTTGTGAATGCTAAGTTTTCTCAGCATACTGGCACTGAAAGAGGGATGGGGTACTTCGTCAAGGTGTTCTTCGAAAATGGACCCATAAATGTACCACAACATATGATATCTATGTCCCAAATGACCTTTACAATTGTCCACGTGTTTTTGTCATCTCACGAAACCTCCATTCTCATATGCCCCCACTCCCCATCAAGACACCTCCTGCAATAGTCAAATGTTTCAGTTCACTTCTCTTGCGACTCGAATGGAAATTGGCTGATGCAACCCCTCATTGGCTGGTTCTTGACTCTGGGTTTATGCAAGAACTGCGATGTGTCCTTGGATGGAGTCCTACAATAGATTTCGATCCACACTTGGAGGACTTACATCCATCTCTCGGAAATCTCGATCATGTACGATGACTAATAAATGTTATGCATATGGACCATTTCCCTCATGGAACTGGATTTGATGGTTAGTTTTTGTCATTGTCATTCGATGGTTCTCACATCAACCTTACAGGTGCTAAATTACTTGTTGACCAGCAAAAAATGCTTCCACTTGAATGACAATATATTCGTTGTGGGGAGACGCATGATATACCCAATGCAGACTCGAGCTTCTGCCTGGTCATTTGCATGACAAGTCACATGTCACAACACCTCCTTTCGTCGAAGTGCTTGTCCATAGACACATCATTCAAACATGTCCGAGGATGGCAAGAGTTTGAGATAGAGTCTTGGGATGATGGTCACATGCGGTGTAAGTTTCCCAAACATTGAACTTGTCTTCATTCTTACCGAAATTTTATAGCTATGGTCTCAGCTCGTGCTATGACTACTTCTCAAACAGCTGAAGCTCATTTGATTCTTTTTCGGCGAATTTTTGAGATTGCGACACAAGACACTGGTGTCCCAGTAGCTTTCCATCATATTCATGGCTTTGGTATTGAATCCATCATTGCTGATGGTCACCATGGGCAAGCAAAAGGTATGTAACTGTCTACTGGCATGCAATAACAAATCGAACTTTTGTCTCCTTCAGGCTTAGGCATGTATTGTGTCGAGGTCTCTCAAGGGCAGTCCAGGTTTTGTGTTACAGTAACATGGCATGAGTCCCCTGCCAGCAGACAGCCCTCTGCCACCGCACGGCTATAGACGACACCGGAGTCTCACCAGCTCTATGACGATAGACGATGATAGATGATGATAGACGATAAGCGGCAACTGCCGGCTTAGATAAGCGGTCTGGACCGCATATGACGACACATGACGACATAGGTCTAGAAGACCTATTTATGTTATCAAGATAGAAGGCAAGCCTCGTGCTGCCTCATGTACTGATAGAAGGATACCTCATGGATCCTATCTATGATAGAAGCCCGCCTCATGGACGCTATCTCTGACTCATGTAGATAAGCAGATTAGAACCCAGCTTTAGGCTGAGCTTAGATATGAAGAATAGCCTTATATAAGGTCGAAGATTAAAGTAGATGTTCCTTACTTGAATCTTACTAGGTTTACCCTTGAACTCCTTGTCCCGCTAAAGCTACCTGCTCGACATCGACTCGTACCTTCAGTGACGCCTCTCACTGTCTGTAAACCCCGCTATCATCTCAGCGTAACCCCTCGTTAACCACCACGAGCTACGTTCGAGTACGCAACCTTTGCTTGTCTGTAAAGGCCGACGACTCTCAGCACTCGGTACCACTGTCGTGGTTGTCGCTGTTTAGATCATCCTAGTCGCACACGACCGTGTGTCGTAACATTTTGTATCTTTGAGCCTCATCGTCGTATTTGTGACTTGGATCCTTATGGGCACCTTCGCCGGTTTTACCGTTTGTGCATTACACACTTTAAAAGAAAGATTTTAGCGCTTCGCAGTCAAGTTTCAAAAAACGTCTATAATGCGATGTTAAGCCTCGGATCCGCAGAAGCCCATCCCAATATTCAAATGACACTCTCTATTATTCATCGAGGTGGTAAAAAAGCACAAGGTAACAGATTTATCTTAAAACGTCATACCTAACACCTTATAACATGTTGATATCATAGCATGGCTCAAAGACAAGGAATCTTCGAAGTTTGCATTGCCTGCAATTTACTGGCCAATGAGTCTCATACCCATCGCAATATGGAAGGCATCACCGACAACTACGAATGGGAATGAGCAAGCGCACCGCAACATCAATCGTGATGGAATCAACTTAACCTTGCTTGCAGGAATCATGCATGGATACCAATATGATGTCTGTGCTGCGTCTAGCATTGACCTCCATATTATGCATGGGATTAACACTCGTGATTATGAATCAACACATCTATACCGGGCGAAACGCTCTGTGAGTCGACAAAGTAAGCACAAAGTAAACATTTTTAACAGTATATACTGACACAATTGATAGTTCAAACCCAGAAACAACGAATCAAATCTCATTCCCAGCCTACAAGTCGTACTAATCATCAAATCAATGACCTTCAACTGCCCTTCATTCCAGACCCACTCACCTGCAACATCAACCAAGACCGCTTCGCACAGAGGTCAAACACAGACAATAAAGATATGTCACTATCAACATACAGCACACTGGCATATGCATTGACGCCAGGTGCCGGTATCGTTGACTATTGTATTTTGAGACATCCGACATTGAGAAAAGAACCTGAAAGTCAGACATGGGCATGGGCTTGTATTAGCACGTACAGCAGTCTAAGCAGGGCATTGGGGAATTCTTGAGTAGTGGAAGAGATAGGCCAACGTGCGCGACTTACCAATTTGCGTAACTCGTCTATTTTTTCTTGGTGGAGGGCAAGAATTGAATGCGAGGATACCAATTTGTGTAATTCGTCTTGATGGAGAGAGCAAGGATCGAATGCGAGGATGCCAATTTGCGTAATTTGTCTTGATGGAGAGAGCAAGGATCGAATGCAAGGATACCAATTTGCATAATTCATCTTGATGGAGAGAGCGAGGATTGAATGCGAGGATATACCAATTTGTGTGACTCGTCCATTTTATCTTGACAGAGAGAATGAGGATTAAGTGCGAGAAGAATATAAAATTTGCATACCTCATCAATTATTCTTGGTGGAGAGAACAAGGATTGAGTGCAGGGATACTCATTTGAATAGCTTTTCAATCTTCTCGAATGAGATGATTCAGCGACATAAACAATGACGCAAATGGGAGGGACGACACACGCGGGGGCTCAAAGGCAAGAGTATATAAACAAGGTATTTTTAATAAAGGAATACAAAAGAAATGGCATAGACAGACCGGTTCCGAACGTTGTTGGGGTCCCTTGGTGGTATTCTGCTGGTAACTGAGAGCTGTTAAGCAAAAAAGCCCCGAGTTGGAACAGGTAACACAACACCGTAATACAGGTCTACTTGGAAAATTTTCCGTGCGGAGACATCTGCAAAACCACTGAAATGAACGCTTAACTTACGTGCGTTACGGACACTTATGAACACTTACAACTTCACTAGTGCACTCATGCGATTGGTGAAGATGCTGTTGCTGTTATTATTTTATTTCGCTGGCTTAAATTTACGAGAGATGGAGAACCAAACATTTTGATCAATGATAATCTGTCACATCTCACTGAAGATAAAAGATGGGCTTGATTCAATCTCAGAGATAAAATAGATAAAAAAAAGACAACACGATGCAGTTAAATTGCAAGCTGAGAACATAACATGGAATCTAACTAATAGAAATCCGAGTGCAATGAATGATACAACTCTTTGTCCGAGAAATTGTTTAGGTAAAAGCGCTCATATACCTCCATACTCGTTGCTGCACTCACCATACAGTTAGCGCCCTCGCCGTACACAGGGATAAGCTCTACCGCGTGCGTGACATCTGTGATAGGGATGATTGCACCCAGTCTTTGCTGGCCTGCGAGCCCCTCCCGATATTTTTGTGCTACCGTATACATACTGATAGCAGGTTGATCACCTGGATTGGCGACAATCTCGTAGTACTGCACATAAAGGAGAGGTTGGTCCGCAAGGTAGTGGGGAAGTGTGACGTGGCGGGGCGCAACGGGCTGGAAGACTGCTCGCACTTGAGCAACGAGATTAACTGTGTATACTACAATCAGTAGCGTGCAACCACAATAAATAAAAACGATTTACCTGTCTGGTCGCCATGTATTGACTGTGTAATCACAGCATCGCAGTTTCCCATAGGAAACTTTTCTGATGGTGGGGCAGCCTGCACGACTTGACTAGGCATAATCATCCACGAGCGAAAGACAGAATGCAGCTGTAATCGAAACTTGTTCCATGTCTTGAGGCGACCACGGTTACAACTCCACGCTGTCGTACATTGACCATTAGCAGCCTTTGCAATATAATCAGAAAGTGCTCGTCTGAAATCTGGTAGTGCGTAAAGCTGCTGGACTTCGTTGAGAGACACCTTAGCTCAATCAGGAGTGACAGTGACATGAAATGCAGCCGTAGCAGTGGCAGATAGGATACCCTTCAAAAAATGGTTTCGAACAGGACACGGCCCCACGAAACACCATTGATTGGGATCATGAGGTGCAATGTGGGCGATCCACGCAAGAGCAGGGTCAGTTTCAGTGACCTCTTGCTCTTCCGTGACTATGGCATTGGCAAGGGGGGAGTCGTGCATCCATAGGAAGAGGTATAACTGGAATCGTCACATCGACTCCTCACGATTGAGAATGTCGACAATTTGCTCTGTGAAGGTCCGTGACTGGCGGGATGTCTTCTCAAAAGGAAGTTTACAATGAGTAATGAGAAGACACTCGGTGACGTCAGCAGTCCATTGGGTGAGGGCGCCAGTGTCCTTGGTGAACGCAGCAAAACTCTGCAGAAGCTCAAGCTTTGGAATGATAAAGTTGTCAAGTGTTCCTTTGGTACCTCATCTCACACCTGCATCCAATATCGCATGCTTATGGTGGTGAAATTCTTCGAGCAAGGCGACCATAGAATCAACAGAGGTATCAGAATAAACAGGGCTTTGGGCCTTGTAGATGAAGTCGATCAAAGCGCGAATTGCATGGACCAGCTGGGGGGGGACAATGCCGGCAATAGAAGGAACCAAGGTGCGTTGCAGATCCCGATGTTCCCGGCCAGTCATTTGTTTCATCTGACACACTCCAGATGAAAAATGAGGCGTTCCTACTCTCTTGTGGTGGCTTCCGAAACAGAAATTGAGTTCGTCCTTCCCCACTGCTTCTTTGCACCACTTGAATGGGTGGTCAAAGAAAAATTTATGACAAGTATGAAGAATCTCTCCTACTAGAAAACAAGAAGGATCTGCATATCGCCAATTCCGCCAAAAAGGCTGGTGAATGCCACTTAGCGAATGGGCCTTGGCTTCCTCCTGGAATTCTCGTAACCTCCATGGATCAATGCATTGACAGATGTCATATATCGTCGCAAGTGTATGTTCTTTCGTTCATGGTTCGTGGCGATAAGTGTCACCAAAATATTGAGACATAGCCAGCGTGATAGGAGAAGCGACCTTCGAGACACATGCTATAGCCTGCTGTTCTGGCAAGTCTGCCGTGTACGCAACCAAAGGTGTGAAGCAGTGTCGTACATGGCCGGCTGGATCAGGTATGAACTTCCCCACCATGGCTGCGACCTTAGCATCTGCGAAAATGATGTCCATACACTTATGGAATAGCCGTTGGCTCAGAATGGTTTGGTAGTCAGGATGAACATCAACAAATTTAGGAATCGGCATATATGCAATGCATCGCCAAGTGTGACACGTTGCTCTCATCCACACGTCAGACTGAATGTTGCCAATGGTGACAAAAATGGGGTGCATTTCAAGCCCACCAGTGTGCTGCGTCACAGGTGCCTTGTCAGATGTGATGATCATCAGAATGATGGTAGCGCCCTTGGGAAGCTGATCCTGTAAGTCATCAGTAAACCACTGTGAACGATACATTGAATTTACCTGAATCTCAAATGCTTGTTGAGCTGTAAAATATTCACTATATTCATGCTCACCACCATCGACCACAACGTGCGGGTCATATGTCATATGGTTCGCAAAGATTGGGTTTGCGAAGAGATCTTGCGCTACCTCTAAGCCATTGCACCAGATGAGGTTTATCGGTTGGACAGTTGGGTACCCGCTGATTTCGAGTGTTGTTGAACACCATTTTGGTCCAGTTGGAAGCGAAGCTACCCATGCGAGTAGCTGGTCCTTGGAGCTGAACGACGGATTAGCTCTGCGTACCTGTCAACTCAAGGTCAGTACACTAGCCCATATGCCCAACTCCAGACAAACCCATTCCAGCTTGAGAAATCGCTCCATATCGCTTTGCATTAACCGTTCACAGAGGAATTTTGCAAACTCAAACTCTGCTTGGTCTTGAAAGGGGTAGAATGGAGCATGACATCGCCGGTAAGCAAATCGGTCATTTTCCATCGCCTCCAGAATGTTTGGCGCCTTCCCAAATACATAGCCTGGGTGGTACTGCCCAAAGATGCGGTCTTTGCCTGCTTCAGAAGTAGATTGAAGGAGCGCAGGTGGTACAGGAATACGGTAATCCTGCACCTGAGGCCAGCAGCCGTTTGTTTTCTGGAGGTGTTCTAACACCGCATCAGTAGAAGGCAAATCGATCTGACACTGAGGGCATTTTGCAATTGATGATCTGGTGCGGTTACTAGTTAAGTATCAAATTCCAGAATAGAGTAAAAACTTACAAACGGGCATCTACAACGAATGGCCCAGAATGATGGCCCCCGTCATGATGGTTGCTGGCCTCCATAGTCACGGACTTCCACCTGCTTGAGAGTACACTGCCAATAGAAAGCACAGGAAAGAGTAGTCAAGTCCTTCAAACTCCGCTTTGGCACAGGTTGCTAATAGCAATATCCCCAGGTATAGTACTCACTATCCTCGAGCTCAAGCCTTATTTCTAGCCCAGAGGCTTCTATCAGATGGGCCAGAGCAAATATGAACTCTCCTAGCACTCGGGTTACCCCCCCTCCTCTGTCCGACTCCGAGACTACAGCATCAACTCAAGTTGACTTAGCATCACCCTCAGTATCCTCTAGTTCTAAATTACTGTCCCCTCCTACATCTTTCAGATCAACAGAGTCAGACCTATCATTCTCTTGAAAGAGAGCTCAACGCACAAACCATCACTCCAGTAGACATCTTATTAACTTCAAACATTCAGGTACTTTAGCAAAGCAAGACTGTCTTCAGCGTTTTTGGGAGAGGATGCATGCACAGTATAAGCCGTGCCTTGTTTATAACTCCCCCCCATATGAGATTGGGTTTGTGAAGAGGCACATTATGCACTCTTCACACAAGGAGTTCTCCAAGCAAGACTTGCATGAGGTAATTATGTCACTTTGCACTCAACATATTTTACTTAAACAAAGATCTAGGGTAGAGAGCTACTCCAAAAGGGCTTATCTCACATGTCCGATGGTACTTTCCGTGCAGCCACTCTAGTAAAACAGGCGTCAGCCCAGGACAAGAGGCACGCAGTCATACACACATCCTGGAAACTGGAGTTGATCGAGAGGCAGAAGAAGTTCATGTAATCACTTCAGAAAGAGCAGGAAGCGGCGCTTAGGATTGCAGAGGTTGAAATGGATTTCTTCAGGCAGCTGGTCTGTGAACGAGGACTCCCCGCTTTGCAAGACGATCAACAATATCTCAAAGCAATTTTTGCCAAAGAATTGGACGATCTTGATGTCGCCAATGAACAGTATAGACAGTTTACGGCTCATTCCAGGAAGCGGGTTACTCCATTCGCGAATAGCAGCGATACGGAACACTCCCCTGATGAATTCATGGCAGATGATGACTCCCACTCCTCATCAGGCTCCCACAGTGATGGTGGTTTGGATGACCTCATTTACGGGGTGAATGAATAAGACGGTACGTTTCCACCGTGTTGCCGCTTCTTTTTGGTTCTATTAAAGACACATGCACAGTCAATGTGATGCCGAGCCATTCCATTCAATTCAATCCCTAAGACACATGTTGATGCCGAGCCATCAGATCCAATTCAATCCCTAAAGTCCCCTATCGCTTCCATTCCTATCACCTCCTATCGCTTCAATACCTCGCTTCCAACCGATCATTGTCTACCATTTTATCTCATCATACTCATCAGCGCCCCCACAAGTTCTCCGCATTTTCCACTTACGTCAAACGTGCTGTAGACTTTTGTACGATCTTTCCGATTTATACTCATCATGTACGGTTCGTTACAGTTGAATATATCCTCCATTGGGTAAGTAAATGATTGGAAACCACTACTAGTAAGCTCGCATGGCCCCACGACGAACAACCTCTCAACCACGACGGACATCCAAACAAAAGGTCAGTCCCCTCTATTTAAGTCTCAGACTCGCCTGACACCAATTAGGCGCCGCCGCGACCAAAAAAGAACTCAGCGCTGAACGCCTCAGGCCGCGATATCACCAGCCAACTTGGCTTACCTCAAGATCGCCCACAAACTCCTGATTCCCTGCGCTGCCCTCCCAACATGGATGATTTCCACCCAGAATTCCAATCCCATTCCCAGCCCCAACCACCACTGCAAAATTTCACGCCTGCGCAAGATTACTTAATGGGGGGCGACTACCAAGACCAGTATTACCCGCCGCAAGACCAGTTTTACCCACCGCAAGATGACTACCACCCCCCACAACACGACTACCACCCCCCGCAAGACCAGTACTACCCCCCACAAGACCACCCCCCACAACACGACTACCACCCACCGCAAGACGACTACCACCCCCCGCAAGACCAGTATTACCCCCCGCAAGACCACCCCCCACAACACGACTACCACCCCCTGCAAGACCACCCCCCACAACACGACTACCACCCACCGCAAGATCAACCCCTGCAAAATCAACCCCCGCAAGACCAGTATTACCCGCCGCAAGACGAGCACCCGCCACAAGACGAGCCACAGCCTGAGGAGTTCCAGCCAGCACCTCAAGAGGATGAGGGTGCTGGCCCCATACATGAGGATCTTGACCTCCATGGTCATGGCTTGCGGCAGCACATGCGTTGGGACCTCAGGGACGTGTATATCCTGCGCATGCAACCCCCACAGCAGGGTCCTCAGATTGTCGGGGTCACAATTCCCCGCAAGAGAGAGGTTGATCGCGGGGAATTTAGTCAGGGCGTCATACATGTAAGTTTACTTATTTATGCTATATATTAATCTTTGATACTACTTACTACTACTAGGAACTACGCACTTCGCAAACGGTTGGTCGACTCGGAACTCGTCCAGTCGATCGGCACTTACCTCTGACACCATCATCGGTACTGGCACCGGCACCCCAGCCACTGGCACCAGCCGAAACTCCCCCAACACCAGCACATGCCTCAAGTCCATCCCCAGCCCCAGCTCCCGACTCATCATTCGTCGTGGAGCTCGACAAGCCCACCATCAACAGCATCAAACACACTACAAAGGAGGAGCTGTGTCATATGATGTTGCAGGAAAGAGATGGTGTTTTGCTGACGCAAAAGAAATGAGGGGCCGTTATCGATAGGGCCCTTAAGAAGGCTCGAATACCTGTTATCGGGCAAGGTGAGTTTCTTGATACATTGATCGTGCTACCAACTGATGCCTTTTAAGTCAAATATAAACCATTTGAGAAGAAGAGAGTTCTTTGTGAAGAACTGGTGACGTGCATGTCGAACATGCAGCGGACGTTCAGAGATTACGCCGCAAATATAGTCCAGACGGCTCTCAACCTACGACTACCCATCTCCGCAGAACCTCAAGAGGAGGCAGCGCACAAGATCGCGGTAGTTCCCATCCTACTGAAGGACCTCAACTTCTTGCACAAGTTTGAATTGGTGCGTTTTGTATTTTATCTTCACTCGCAGGCACTTATTTACTCAGGATGACGATGGCATCAAACAATGTCAGCTTTTAGAAGCCGACTATTTTGTTGAGATGATCATCAACGTCGTGTGGCAGAAAGGCCTGTATGAATAGGGATCCGCACGGGTGAACCCCCAGGTTTGGCAGGTCAACCCGCACCCACACCCCGAGGTAAACCCACACCTGCAGCAAGGGTACAGGTTGCACAGTGGGTAGCGAAGTAAGGACCCGGGGTACAACCCATCAAGGGTGTACCTGCGGGTCATAGATCCGCCAGTGCTTAGCACATATGTCCAGCACACGTCAGCAAATGCTGATGTGACTCAAACATATGTGGATGGCACAAGAAGGAGGAGGGGCGTGCGCTGGGCATTCGTGCATGGTGTCCGTCGCGTTGGGAATGGCATAGTGGTCGTTGGTGATGGTGTCGCTGGAGTATGCGCTAGTGCCGGCGCAAATGACAAAGATGGTGGTGCGAATGATGGCGAAGGTGACGCGGATGGTGGTGTTGGTGTCGTGGATGGTGGTGTTGGCATGAAAGCTGGTGGTGGTGCGAGTGCTGGGCGCACAAAGATAGGCGCCGGCAACGTGACGCGTATGATGTCGTTGTTGTTGCTGGGGGTAGAGTCTTCAATGTGAGTACTCACTTCCAGCGTGCCCAAAGTCTCGTCTCCTCGAGTTCCTCTTTCCTCCTTCATCTCTATACCATCCCTTCTCCCTTCTTCGATTCTCTTGTCCTTTCGTCTTCATGTGTCGTCCGTGTGCGTTTGCATCGCGTCAACACTTGTTGATGCATTTCGGGCGCGCGTGCTGTGAATGTGGAGTTGGTGGACTTGGGAAGGCGCGTTAGGTGCCGGTGTTGGTGGTGGTGCTGGTTGTAGTGTGCACGCGGGAATGCTGGGTGCGAAGATGTTGATAGTGGCGTGGTGAGCGAAGACGTTGATGACAGTTGCAGTTGAGGAGTGTGCGAGGACGAGAGGTAAAATTACCGAAGGCACGGGTATAGCTCTTTATAATAGTTTGCATCTCCCTGTTCTCAGTATGAGCATTAGTCTCTCTTCACTCTCCTGTTTCACGCCATGGCCTCATTCTATTCTACTCAGGTACGCTTTCAAAACTCAGGAATCCGAGTCCTTGCCGTATGACTCAATCACACCGACCTTTCCAGTCATATGCGATTACTGACCTTGAACCCCTCCCTGATGCCCTTCGTCGCGCGCCCTTTGTAAAGAGGGTACTTTGTTTTTTGGCACTTGGACGCCCAAATCTTGATGATCATTGGAAGTCGCTGCAATCAGACCAAGCCTTCGAAACCGTTAGGAGCAGGTTGTGCTCCATCTTGACTAGTATCATCACCACCGTAAGCTATCCATCTCCGCACCCGTCGCGAACTGAAGCTGACGCTGACATGCTCTCATGAAGGCAAGTGTCCTCCTCGCTATAAGCGGTGTTTTCGTCAGCACGGGTTCTCCTGTGTCGTACTTTGACTACACGTCGCCCGTTCCCTATTATCTGCTCTTTATATCGCTCATGCTCGCCATGATCGCGATGTTGACGTCTGGCTCGAGCATGATACGTTGGTTGCACGCCGATCGGCACTGGACTCAAGAAGTGAGTTTATTCTCGTCATGCTGATTCAGACACCGGTTGACCTAAATATGATCAGCAACTCAAGCAAGGCGATTACTTCGTCTTGTCCTACCTGTTGTCGATAGTCACGCCTATATTCTTCATTGTCTGCTCCCTCAATTGTTTTATATTTGGTGAGTTGCTCCATCAATTGAGGCTTGCTCTGGTCCCTCATGCATTCCACCCAGCGATGTTGATAGCAGGCTTTTCTTCTCAAAGCATGATCTGCCGCGCCGTCACTGCGCTCTGGCTGGTCGCATACGCCGTCAATGTTGGGACCATTATGATGGAAGCTATGTGGAAATATGCGACAAGCCTCAATCACGCTGGAGATCGCTAGTAGTTTCCAGTTTGCTTCTTCATCAGCGGGTTGGATTGAGCTACAGAATGCTACAGAGCGCTCTGTAGTGAATTACGTTTCCCTCAGGCTGATGTTGTTTCACCCGCGGTTTGTCTATGTTGTATATGACCTCCCTGATGCGGTACACAAATGTACTCGAAATGTAGACGAGTGGATGTATGCAGTCCGTGGCTTTCAATTATGCAAATCGATTTTTGATTAAAGAGCGTTTCACGACACATAGAAAGCACCGGTACCATTCATCCATTTGCACTCAGTCTTACCTTCCAAGTCATGATATCTTCCAGGCCAGGAATCTTGAGAATATGATGTCACCGATGCCCTCCGTCATGAGATTACACGACTACAAGCTATTTGCTGGTCTGGAATGAAGATCGCCGGATATAACCAGGTAGCTTAGTAGGCCTGACGGTTAATGACTTCGAACCTATTACGATTGCCTGAGCCTAATCAGTCGAAGAGCCTAGCGCAGGTCGGTGGACGAGAGAGCTATTCAGTCTGCTAACCCATCAATAAAGTTGTCCATTAATAATCATACTTATACTCGTTCTTTTCATCACAAGGTTGCGATCCATCAAAGCGACTAGAAAAAATGACTATGGATATACAGTATCGCTTCGATCCCAATCAACTATGGGAAGAACTACCGCCCCCGCCTCCATAAGGCGAACCGTTTCCAGGAAGCCCATGAGTCTCTAAATCTTTCCCGTCTAGCGCTTCCTGGATCATCGAAATCGTGCTCTCCAAACTCCGGCGCCTCGTAGAGGGACTCGTCATCGTCGTCCCAAGCGAAGCCTGCCGGCCATGTCTGCCCTTGAATGGGGTGCGCGGAGTCCCCATCTGTCCGCCGCTCGGGAGACTGGGCAAGGATGTCAGCGATCCCGACGACATGGAAGGCTCCACTCCAACTCCACTCGGAGACACAGGGGACTCGATGGTGTCTGCTGGGGTCGTCGGTAACGACCCAGATTGTGCTTGAGCCAGGTAGGCCTTTGCCTCTTCGGCATCGAAAAGTTCTGGAGGCAGACGCTCGTTTTCGATATCTGACTTCCGTCTGTATGAAGATGTAATGAATACCGAGAGCGTATGCAGGTGGGAAAAGTTGAACGTACGCGTCCTCGAAGCCAGAAATGGCATCTTTGATGCCTTCTGTACCTAAGGCTAGCGTGCCGTACGGCAACTTGCTAGAACCAGATATGCTCTTGAGCTCTGAAACCTTCTCCGACTCCTCTCTGCGACATATCCGTCAAACTAGTACAACGTGTAGACAAGGATCCCGTACCGGAGCAAAGCAAACACACGCGCCATCCGTCCAACTGCAAGGATCTTGTTTTTGATGATCTTTCGCCTCTCCACCACCTCTTCGGGGTGGGCTACTCGTGAAACAACCTGTTCCTCGTCAGACTCCTCGAGCTCTTCTTTACTGCAAGTGTTTAGCACAGCAACAAGCATATCTGTGACTAGAGTCGCCGCTCAGTTTTGGATAGACGCTCTAAATAAGCTCCGTGAACGTACTTTTCTCGCCCACAAAGGGTAAACTCCAAGTAAACACGTCCATGAAGTTAGGTAGCCAGTACGGATGAGGCGTGCAGTTGAACTGCCGAATGTTCATCACGTTGCTCTCGTACTTCAAGACGGCGGCTTTGTTGTTGTACACGTCGAGGTAGTTGGGAGCAGAAAAGATCGTCATGACAGAAGGAAAGCCCGTGCTTTTTGTCTTCCGGTACATACGATAGCTTTCGAGCGACCGCATGAGTAAAATAGACGGCTGTATAATTGAAACATACCCAGCATCTTGAGCTTCGTGTGCGCGAATGATCGAAAGAAGATTATTTCGCTCTAAGAACTGACAAGCAGCTTGGTAACTATATGCCGACGATCAATCAAAATACATCGGACACCTGAAACCACTCACGTGAAGAAGTAAGAACAACCTCGGACGTGATTATGAACGAAGCTTTCATTCATCTTCTCTTGCCCAAAGTCTTCAACAGGATCCGACCATAGAATATCGCACATCAGGCCGTGTGTCGGAGGCTCGCGGAACCGATCGATCTAAAGGGAATATAAATGAACGTTGCTTCATGGAAGATCCGCGAATGGACGTACCGCTCTGATATCATCCAAAGTGTTCAACTCTGGTGAAAGACCGCCGTGGATGCATAGGAATTGCTTGTTCATGACGGCAGCAAGGGGAAGTGCACAGAAGGATTCCATGCAAGCGTCGTAGATGCGCTCCGAGTATTTGTGCTTGCCTGAGTGACGTTAGTGGAGTATTCATTCAGAGATGATGAAGTGATTAATACATACATTCGAGCTTGAAAGTGAAATAGTCTGTGAGATGCCGGCATTCATGATTGCCACGGAGAAGGAAGAGGGTGTCGGGATACCAGATCTTGAGGGACCACAGATACAAAACGCACTATGGGATGGGATGAGTTGGAGAAGGTCGAGTATTGATGCAGGACACACCTCTATACTGAAGTAACCCCGATCAACGTAATCTCCGAGGAAAAGGTACCGTGTGTCCGCTGGACTGCCGCCAACTTCGAACAGTTTCATGAGGTCGTACTGGAGAGATAATCAGTAATGTATCATCCTGACGAACAATCGAGGGCGCATACATATTGACCATGGATATCGCCACACACTAAGTGAGATGGTTTGTTGGCATGGGGTGACTACGGCAGACGACAAGCACACTCACCTGTGATTGGCGCGTCGACCTGCAAGACGTTGGACTCCGCACGAAGGAGCGCAGTTGCCTTTTCCAAAATCCATATCGCCTGATCCTCGGTGACCCGGCCTTCGCGGTAAAAGTGGTTCTTGAGGAACGCTACGTCAGGTTTGGTGGGATCTTGTTTGGAGAAAAACTGGGCATCCGTGGGGACGTTCATAGCTGGCGCTTGCACCTGCAATGAGAGCTCAGCAGGCAGATTAAGATGAGTAGCCGATGACGCGAGCGTACATCTTTGACAACCCGCTCTTGTGTGCTGATTGTATTCCCATCTTCAAGTACATGCTGAGTGAAGTCGATATCGGGAAGCGGCTTCTTGTGTTGGATCTGTTCAATTGCACGGTCAACATGAGCTTGTGCGATGTGCATGATGACGGAGATTGAAGAAGATATCAGTCGCACAGAAGGGAGTGCGAGAGACGCTCAGTGGCGGTGACTGGAGAACTTGAAAATACCCCTGGGCCCACAGCTTCAAGGTTGTAACACACAAAGTGTCTATTATTATTGTAATCAAGCTACAGCACACTACTGCGGAAATAGCTAGAGTAATCAATGACAGTTCACGCTTATCGTCCAGCTCCTGTATCATGCAGTGTATTATGAAC